CCACGCCCTCTGCTCTGACCACGCCCCCTGCTCTGAGCGGTGCACGCGCACGGACACACGCGCACACGTCTGTATTTCTGTGGCAAATAGAGAAACTAAATTTGACTCTGGACAAAAGTTTATTTGGTCGAATCCGTTTCTCAGACACAACCCACACAACAGTACTACCTCTGTGTACTTGTACTGTAGTATTCTTCAGAGTAACAGTACTACCTCTGTGTACTTGTACTGTAGTATTCTTCAGAGTAACAGTACTACCTCTGTGTACTTGTACTGTAGTATTCTTCAGAGTAACAGTACTACCTCTGTGTACTTGTACTGTAGTAGTCTTCAGAGTAACAGTACTACCTCTGTGTACTTGTACTGTAGTTACTTGTAGAAGGACAAACTCAGGCAAAAGTCATGTTTTTACTGAACAAACATTTGAGTCCATAAGGTTCTCATGTGAAACAACAAAGTGAAAATAATAAAATAAAATAATATAAATAAATAAATCACAAAACACAAGAAGAAGAAAATATAAAAACACTTTTATAAAACAACAACAGTTTTATCTGAACAAATGTGAGACTGAAATGGGTCAGAGGTCAGGGGTCAGAGGTCAGAGGAGGGTCAGAGGAGAGGTCAGGGGTCAGAGGAGGGTCAGAGGAGAGGTCAGGGGTCAGAGGAAGGGTCAGGGGTCAGAGGAGGGGTTAGGGGTCAGGGTCAGAGAGGGGTCAGGGGTCAGAGGAAGGGTCAGGTCAGGGAGGGTCAGAGGAGGGTCAGAGGAGGGGTCAGGGGTCAGAGGAGGGGTCAGGGGTCAGAGGAGGGTCAGGGGTCAGAGGAGGGTCAGAGGAGGGGTCAGGGTCAGAGGAGGGGTCAGGGGTTCAGAGGGGTCAGAGGAGGGGTCAGGGGTCAGAGGAGGGGTTAGGGGTCAGAGGAGGGTCAGAGGGTCAGAGGAGGTCAGAGGTCAGGGGTCAGAGGAAGGGGTCAGGGGTCAGAGGAGGGTCAGAGGAGGGTCAGGGGTCAGAGGGTCAGGGTCAGAGGTCAGAGGAGGGGTCAGAGGAGGGGTCAGGGGTCAGAGGGGCCACACTGGCTTTCTTCAGGTTCAGAAAGTTCCTCCTGCGTTTTTTGGTGGCCTCTGGTGTCTGAGCGGAGGGCGGCGCGTTCCTGAAGACAAACGGCCTCTCAGACGGAACAGCCCGGTCCACATCAGGACCAGGACCGGGACCAGGACCGGAACCAGGACCAGGACCGGGACCGGGACCGAGAACAGGATCCAGACCAGGACTCAGGGACAGACACATGTACTCATCTGGACCAGGTTTAACAAGAGACACTTTAAGGAGATCTGAACCAAGTCTGGTCCCGGTCTGCGGTCCGGTCTGTGGTCCGGTCTGTGGTCCGGTCCTGGTCTCGGGTTGGACCAGAATCAGAGGAGTGGTTGAAGGGGGCGGGGCACAGGTGGAGGGGAGGAGCTTCTCTAACAGACTCCGCCTCTTTTCCTCCATCCTGAAAATGACATCATCGTTAGTGACAGGTGACGACAGGTGAAGACAGGTGAAGACAGGTGCACGTTTCATCAACAGGAGAGCGGCAGGGTCATTCACCTGTCAATTTGCCAGGTGCAGACAGGAGCGTCCAGAGATGCCTCCCGGATCAGGTCGACTCGAAGTTTAACGACGAGACGCTTCAAAAACGACGAGCTGAAAACACAAAGACACAGACTAACCACTGACACACACAGATTAACCACTGACACAACTGACACACACAGACTAACCACTGACACACAACTGACACACACAGACTAACCACTGACACACACAGACTAACCACTGACACACAACTGACACACACACAGACTAACCACTGACACACAACTGACACACAACTGACACTCATGGAGCTCATGTACGATGTTCTTACCGCGTGTTCTGGGGCAGATCTTTAGGACTCAGACCTTCACACAGAGTCTGCAGGTCCCTCTGGGGCAGATCTTTAGGACTCAGACCTTCACACAGAGTCTGCAGGTCCCTCTGGGGCAGATCTTTAGGACTCAGACCTTCACACAGAGTCTGCAGGTCCCTCTGGGGCAGATCTTTAGGACTCAGACCTTCACACAGAGTCTGCAGGTCCCTCTGGGGCAGAGCAGGAAGCAGAACACACAACATCTGCATCAGAACATCACGAGGAACCTCCAACTGCCTCACCAGAACAGACGTGAACTTCAAGTCCTGAAACACAGACAGGACTGGATTAAATGTGAACGGGTCCTGGTCCGGTCCTGGTCCGGTCCTGGTCCAGTCCGGGTCCAGTCCGGGTCCGGTCTCTGTTCAGACCTGTGCACACAGCTGGTGCAGTCTCCTCAGCTCCAGATGTTCTCTCAGATCTTCTCTGGTCTGAGTCCTGGACCTGGTTTCTTCACATCTGAAAAAAGACAAAGACTGAGTCAAGTCTGGGACAGAACCAGGACCAAGACCAGGACCAAGACCAGGACCAAGACCAGGACCAAGACCAGGACCAGGACCAGGACCAAGACCAGGACCAAGACCAGGACCAGGACCAGGACCAGGACCAGACCAGGACCAGGACCAAGACCAGGACCAGGACCAGGACCAAGACCAGGACCAGGACCAGGAGACCAGGACCAGGACCAAGACCAGGGTTTGGGTTAGCCCTAACCCTCACAGTAGTAGTATTAGTAACAATAACAGTAGTAACAGTAGTAGCAGTAGTAGTAGTAGTAGTAGCAGTACTAACAGTAGTAGTAGTAGTAGTAGTAGCAGTAGTATTAACAGTAGTAGTAGTAGTAGTAGTAGTAGTAGCAGTACTAACAGTAGTAGTAGTAGCAGTACTAACAGTAGTAGTAGTAGTAGTAGTAGCAGTACTAACAGTAGTAGTAGTAGTAGTAGTAGCAGTACTAACAGTAGTAGTAGTAGTAGTAGTAGTAGTACTAGTAGTAGTAGTAGTAGTAGTAGTAGCAGTACTAACAGTAGTAGTAGTAGTAGTAGTAGTAGTAGTAGTAGTAGTACTAACAGTAGTAGTAGTAGTAGTAGTAGTAGTAGCAGTACTAACAGTAGTAGTAGTAGTAGTAGTAGCAGTACTAACAGTAGTAGTAGTAGTAGTAGTAGCAGTACTAACAGTAGTAGTAGTAGTAGTAGTGTACTAACAGTAGTAGTAGTAGTAGTAGTAGCAGTACTAACAGTAGTAGTAGTAGTAGTAGCAGTACTAACAGTAGTAGTAGTAGTAGTAGTAGTAGTAGTAGTAGTACTAACAGTAGTAGTAGTAGTAGTAGTAGTACTAACAGTAGTAGTAGTAGTAGTAGCAGTACTAACAGTAGTAGTAGTAGTAGTAGTAGTACTAACAGTAGTAAAGTAGTAGTAATAGCAGTAACTAGTAGTAGTAGTAGTAGTAGTAGTACTAACAGTAGTAGTAGTAGTAGTAGCTAGTACTAACAGTAGTAGTAGTAGTAGTAGTAGCAGTACTAACAGTAGTAGTAGTAGTAGTAGTAGTAGTAGTAGTAGCAGTACTAACAGTAGTAGTAGTAGTAGTAGTAGTAGCAGTAGTATTAACAGTAGTAGTAGTAGTAGTAGCAGTACTAACAGTAGTAGTAGTAGCAGTACTAACAGTAGTAGTAGTAGTAGTAGTAGCAGTACTAACAGTAGTAGTAGTAGTAGTAGTAGTAGTAATAGTAGTAGTAGTAGTAGCAGTAGTAGTAGTAGTAGTAGCAGTACTAACAGTAGTAGTAGTAGCAGTACTAACAGTAGTAGTAGTAGTAGTAGTAGTAGTAGTAGCAGTACTAACAGTAGTAGTAGTAGTAGTAGCAGTACTAACAGTAGTAGTAGTAGTAGTAGTAGCAGTACTAACAGTAGTAGTAGTAGTAGTAGTAGTAGTAGTAGTAGTAGTAGTAGTAGCAGTACTAACAGTAGTAGTAGTAGTAGTAGTAGTAGTAGTACAGTACTAACAGTAGTAGTAGTAGTAGTAGTAGTAGTAGTAGTAGTAGTAGTAGTAGTAGTAGCAGTACTAACAGTAGTAGTAGTAGTAGTAGTAGCAGTACTAACAGTAGTAGTAGTAGTAGTAGTAGTAGTAGTAGTAGTAGTAGTAGCAGTACTAACAGTAGTAGTAGTAGTAGCAGTATTAACAGTAGTAGTAGTAGTACAGTAGTAGTGTTTTGTGTTTGTGTTTTGTGTTTTTGTGTTTGTGTTTTGTGTTTTGTGTTTGTGTTTGTTGGTTTAGTTTGTGTTTGTGTTTGTGTTTTGGTGGGTTTTGGGTTTTGGGTTTTGGGTTTAGGGTTTTGGGTTTAGGGTTTTGGGTTTAGGGTTTGGGTTTAGTTTTGGGTTTAGGGTTTAGGGTTTGGGGTTTGGTTTAGGGTTTGGTTTAGTTTTGGGTTTTGGGTTTAGGGTTTGGGTTTAGTTTTGGGTTTAGGGTTTTGGGTTTAGGGTTTGGGTTTAGGGTTTGGGTTTAGTTTTGGGTTTTTGGGTTTGGGTTTGGGTTTTGGGTTAGGGTTTTTGGGTTTGGGTTTGGGTTTAGTTGGGTTTAGGGTTTAGGGTTTTGGGTTTGGGTTTAGGGTTTTGGGTTTTGGGTTTTGGGTTTAGGGTTTAGGGTTTTGGGTTTAGGGTTTTTTTGGGTGCGCTGGAGTTTGGGGTTTTAGGGTATTTGTGGATGTGGTCGTATTCTCATGTGTCTGGTGATGCCAATAAAAGCCGGAGAGGCCAACAGCAGTTCATTTTTTGTATGTCTTTATTTCACCTCGCTGACATGAATGGATCCTTCCGCGTCCTAAATTGCGGCGTTGTAGCTTTTCGTTTGTCAAGAACAGGTGAATTGTTACAGTAGGAACAGTTACTGTAGTATAATAGTACGAATAATAGTAGTAATAGGAGTAATAGTACTAGAGTAAAAGTACCTCTGCTTCAGTAGAATCAGGAGCTGTTCTCGTTTGTACAGCGCCTCCTGGAGGATAGAGCCCATACTGCAGTCCTCCTGCAGCTCCACAAGTCCCCCCCCTCCTCTCAGAGGGGTCAGCGGGGTCGGAGGGGTCAGCGGGGTCGGAGGGGTCAGCGGGGTCGGAGGGGTCAGGGGGTCAGAGGGGTCAGAGGGTCAGGGCTTTCCTGATGGTCTGAGTCCGGCTCCACTCTGCACAGATCCTTTTGAAACTCGTCCTCTGCTGCAGCGAGTCCCTGATCACAACCAAATCATAAATAATAATAATAATAATAATAATAATAATAATAATAATAATAGTTGTTCATATTATTACTCTTGTATGTATTTATTTTTTCTGCCCACAGGTGTCTCAGACCTCAGTGTAAAACTTGAATCCGCCTTCGTCTTGGTGCAGGTTCTGCTCTAAAATCTGTGGAAACTGAAAATCTCCTTGTTTCTGATTCATGTTTGTTTATTTAAAGCAACGATTCCCTGAACCAAGACGGAGACACAGAGGAGACACAGATGAGACACACAGGTGAGACACACAGGTGAGACACACAGGTGAGACACAGATGAGACACACAGGTGAGACACAGGTGAGACACACAGGTGAGACACACAGGTGAGACACAGGTGAGACACACAGGTGAGACACACAGGTGAGACACACAGACACACAGGTGAGACACAGATGAGACACACAGGTGAGACACACAGGTGAGACACACAGGTGAGACACAGATGAGACACACAGGTGAGACACAGGTGAGACACACAGGTGAGACACAGGTGAGACACACAGGTGAGACACAGGTGAGACAGGTGAGACACAGGTGAACACACAGGTGAGACACAGATGATGAGACACACACAGGTGAGACACACAGGTGAGACACAGGTGAGACACACAGGTGAGACACAGGTGAGACACAGGTGACACAGGTGAGACACAGATGAGACACACAGGTGAGACACAGGTGAGACACAGGTGAGACACAGGTGGACACACAGGTGAGACACAGGTGAGACACAGGTGAGACACACACAGGTGAGACACAGGTGAGACACAGGTGAGACACAGGTGAGACACACAGGTGAGACACAGGTGAGACACAGATGAGACACAGATGAGACACAGGTGAGACACACAGGTGAGGGACACAGGTGAGACACAGGTGAGACACACAGGTGAGACACAGGTGAGACACAGGTGAGACACAGGTGAGGGACACAGGTGAGGGACAGGTGAGGGACACAGGTGAGGGACACAGGTGAGAGACACAGGTGAGAGGGACACAGGTGAGAGACACAGGTGAGACACACAGGTGAGACACAGGTGAGACACAGGTGAGACACACAGGTGAGGGACACAGGTGAGACACAGGTGAGGGACACAGGTGAGGGACACAGGTGAGAGACACAGGTGAGACACAGGTGAGACACAGGTGAGACACAGGTGACACAGGTGAGACACAGGTGAGAGACACAGGTGAGACACAGGTGAGAGATACAGGTGAGAGACACAGGTGAGGGACACAGGTGAGAGACACAGGTGAGACACAGGTGAGGGACACAGGTGAGGACAGGTGAGGGACAGGTGAGGGACACAGGTGAGAGGAGACAGGTGAGGGACACAGGTGAGAGACACAGGTGAGGGACACAGGTGAGACACAGGTGAGAGACACAGGTGAGAGACACAGGTGAGGACACAGGTGACACAGGTGAGGGACACAGGTGAGAGACACAGGTGAGGGACACAGGTGAGAGACACAGGTGAGAGACACAGGTGAGAGACACAGGTGAGGGACACAGGTGAGACAGGTGAGACACAGGTGACACAGGTGAGAGACACAGGTGAGACACAGATGAGATGAGACACAGGTGAGACACAGGTGAGAGACACAGGTGAGACACAGATGAGACACAGGTGAGACACAGGTGAGGGACACAGGTGAGACACAGGTGAGAGACACAGGTGAGAGACACAGGTGAGGACACAGGTGAGAGGAGCACAGGTGAGGGACACAGGTGAGACACAGGTGAGGACACAGGTGAGAGACACAGGTGAGGACACAGGTGAGAGACACAGGTGAGGGACACAGGAGACACAGGTGAGAGAGGAGGGAGACACAGGTGAGGGACACAGGTGAGACACAGGTGAGACAAGGTGAGGGACACAGGTGAGGACACAGGTGACACAGGTGAGAGACACAGGTGAGGGAGGTGAGGGACACAGGTGAGGGACACAGGTGAGACACACAGGTGAGAGACACAGGTGAGGGACACAGGTGAGGGACACAGGTGAGGGACACAGGTGAGGGACACAGGTGAGACACACAGGTGAGGGACACAGGTGAGACACAGGACACAGGTGAGGGACACAGGTGAGGGACACAGGTGAGTTGTGAGCGCGCTCAGTACCTCCCGGTGGACTCGGAGCACGGCGGCCATCTTAGGACTGTCTCTGAGCTCCGGCGTCAGGAGCGACTGAACACACAAAATGGCCTCCCACATCTGCAGCGCTCTGATCCACCTGTGAGACTTGTCCAGGTGAAGACGAGACACGAGACACGAGAGACGAGAGGAGACGCACGACAAGAGGAGACGAGGAGCGTCTGAAGACATCTGCACCTCCATCTGCAGGACAGACGACACGTGAGATGAGAGGAGAGAAGAGAGAGGAGGAGAGGAGAGAGGAGAGAGGAGAGAGAGAGAGAGGAGAGAGGAGAGAGGAGAGAGGAGAGAGGAGGAGGAGAGGAGAGGAGAGAGAAGAGGAGGTTAGGGTTAGGCTTTCTCTCCTCCCTCTCTTCCTCTCCTCCTCTCTCAGTTCCTTTTCTTCCTCTCCTCCTCTCAGTTCCTTCTCTTCCTCTCCTCCTCTCTCAGTTCCTTCTCTTCCTCTCCTCCTTCTCTCCTCCTCTCAGTTCCTTCTCTTCCTCTCCTCCTCTCAGTTCCTTCTCTTTCTCACCTCCTCTCTCAGTTCCTTTTCTTTCTCGCTCTTTTCTTCGTACAGTTTGATTCGTTCTTGGAGGTTCTTCTGGAACCTTCTCGTCTCATTACCGTCTTTGGTGTTTTTCCTTCTGGCTCGGCTCTGAAAAAGAGAGAGCCACATGAGCCACAGAGAGAGAGAGAGCCACGTGAGCCACAGAGAGAGAGAGAGAGAGAGAGATGAGCCACATGAGCCACAGAGAGAGAGAGAGAGAGAGAGAGCCACGAGAGTGATGAGCCACATGAGCCAGAGCCACAGAGAGAGCCACAGAGAGAGAGAGCCACATGAGCCACAGAGAGAGACAGAGAGAGCCACATGAGCCACAGAGAGAGAGAGCCACGTGAGCCACATGAGCCACAGAGAGAGACAGAGCCACATGAGCCACATGAGCCACAGAGAGAGACAGAGCCACATGAGCCACATGAGCCACAGAGAGAGAGAGAGAGCCACATGAGCCACATGAGCCACAGAGCCACAGAGCCACAGAGAGACAGAGCCACATGAGCCACAGAGAGAGAGAGAGAGAGAGCCACATGAGCCACAGAGAGAGAGAGAGAGCCACGTGAGCCACATGAGCCACAGAGAACCACAGAGAGAGAGAGAGAGAGCCACATGAGCCACATGAGCCACGTGAGCCACAGAGAGAGAGAGAGACGTGAGCCACATGAGCCACAGAGAGAGAGAGACATTGGTTCAGTCCTGGTTTAGTCCTGGTTCGGTCCTGGTTCAGTCCCGGTGTAGTCCTGGTTCGGTCCCGATTCGGTCCTGGTTCGGTTCTGGTTCGGTCCTGGTTCAGTCCCGGTGTAGTCCCGGTGTAGTCCTGGTTCAGTCCCGGTGTAGTCCCGGTTCAGTCCCGGTGTAGTCCCGGTTCAGTCCCGGTGTAGTCCCGGTTCGGTCCTGGTTCAGTCCCGGTGTAGTCCCGGTGTAGTCCCGGTGTAGTCCCGGTGTAGTCCCGGTTCAGTCCTGGTTCAGTCCCGGTGTAGTCCTGGTTCGGTCCCGGTTCGGTTCTGGTTCGGTCCTGGTTCGGTCCTGGTTCGTTCCCGGTGTAGTCCCGGTTCGGTCCTGGTTCAGTCCCGGTGTAGTCCCGGTGTAGTCCCGGTTCGGTCCCGGTGTAGTCCTGGTTCGGTCCCGGTTCAGTCCCGGTGTAGTCCTGGTTCGGTCCCGGTTCGGTTCTGGTTCGGTCCTGGTTCGGTCCTGGTTCAGTCCTGGTTCAGTCCCGGTGTAGTCCCGGTTCGGTCCTGGTTCGGTCCCGGTGTAGTCCCGGTGTAGTCCTGGTTCGGTCCCGGTCCGGTCCTGGTTCAGTCCCGGTGTAGTCCTGGTTCAGTCCCGGTTCAGTCCCGGTGTAGTCCTGGTTCGGTCCCGGTTCGGTTCTGGTTCGGTCCTGGTTCGGTCCTGGTTCAGTCCTGGTTCAGTCCCGGTGTAGTCCCGGTTCGGTCCTGGTTCGGTCCCGGTGTAGTCCTGGTTCGGTCCCGGTTCGGTCCTGGTTCGGTCCTGGTTCGGTTCTGGTTCGGTCCTGGTTCGGTCCGGTCCTGGTTCGGTTCTGGTTCGGTCCTGGTTCGGTTCTGGTTCGGTCCTGGTTCGGTCCTGGTTCGGTCCGGTCCTGGTTCGGTTCTGGTTCGGTCCTGGTTCGGTTCTGGTTCGGTTCTGGTTCGGTCCCGGTTCGGTCCTGGTTCGGTTCTGGTTCAGTCCCGGTTCAGTCCCGGTGTAGTCCTGGTTCGGTCCTGGTTCGGTCCCGGTTCGGTTCTGGTTCGGTCCTGGTTCGGTCCCGGTTCGGTTCTGGTTCGGTCCTGGTTCGGTCCTGGTTCAGTCCCGGTGTAGTCCCGGTGTAGTCCTGGTTCGGTCCCGGTTCGGTCCTGGTTCGGTCCTGGTTCGGTTCTGGTTCGGTCCTGGTTCGGTTCTGGTTCGGTCCTGGTTCGGTCCGGTTCGGTCTGGTTCGGTCTCGGTTCGGTCCTGGTTCGGTCCTGGTTCGGTCCTGGTTCGGTCCTGGTTCGGTCCGGTCCTGGTTCGGTCCTGGTTCGGTTCTGGTTCAGTCCCGGTTCAGTCCCGGTTCAGTCCCGGTGTAGTCCTGGTTCGGTCCCGGTTCGGTCCTGGTTCGGTTCTGGTACGGTCCCGGTTCGGTCCCGGTTCAGGGAGGTCTGTGATGTCACCAGGAGCGTCTCTTGGCTCCGCCTCCACTCGTCCAGCGCTCGTTGCACTTTGGCCTGAAGAACAGCAGGGGGCAGCACCAGGCACCGGTCCAACACCGACGCACACTTCACATACTCCAACTCCAACCGCAGGACGTCCAACGAGGACAGGAGGACACAGGAGGACAGGAGACGACTGTGGAGGAGACCACACGTGAGAGGAGGACACAGGAGGACAGGAGGAGGACACAGGAGGACAGGAGGACAGGAGGACAGGAGGACAGAGGAGGACAGGAGGACAGGAGGACAGGAGGACAGAGGAGGACAGAGGAGAACAGGAGGACAGAGGAGGACAGGAGGACAGAGGAGGGAGGAGAGGAGGAGGAGAGGAGACAGAGGAGGACAGAGGACAGAGGAGGACAGGAGGAGGAGGACAGAGGAGAGAGGACAGGAGACAGAGGACAGAGGAGGACAGGGAGGACAGAGGAGGACAGGAGGACAGAGGAGGACAGGAGGACAGAGGAGGACAGGAGGACAGAGGAGGACAGGAGGACAGGAGGACTGTGGAGGAGACCACACGTGAGAGGAGGACACAGGAGGACAGAGGAGGACAGAGGAGGACAGAGGAGGACAGGAGGACAGAGGAGGACAGAGGAGGACAGGAGGACAGAGGACAGAGGAGGGACAGGAGGACAGGAGGACAGGAGACAGGAGGACTGAGGAGACCACACGTGAGAGGACAGGAGACAGAGGAGGACAGAGGAGGACAGAGGAGGACAGAGGAGGACAGAGGAGGACAGAGGACAGGAGGACAGGAGGAGGACAGAGGAGGACAGAGGAGGACAGAGGAGGACAGAGGAGGACAGAGGAGGACAGGAGGACAGGAGGACAGAGGAGGACAGGAGGACAGGAGGACAGAGGAGGACAGAGGAGGACAGAGGACAGAGGAGGACAGGAGGACAGAGGAGGACAGAGGAGGACAGAGGAGGACAGAGACAGAGGAGGACAGAGGAGGACAGGAGGACAGGAGGACAGAGGAGGACAGAGGAGGACAGGAGGACAGAGGACAGGAGGACAGGAGGACAGAGGAGACAGGACAGAGAGGACAGAGGAGGACAGAGGAGGACAGAGGAGGACAGAGGAGGACAGGAGGACAGGAGACAGAGGAGGACAGAGGAGGACAGAGAGGACAGAGGAGGACAGGAGGACAGGGAGGACAGAGGACAGGAGGACAGGGACAGAGGAGGACAGAGGAGGACAGAGGAGAGGACAGGAGGACAGGAGGACAGAGAGGACAGAGAGGACAGGAGGACAGGAGGACAGAGGAGGACAGGAGGAGGACAGGAGGACAGAGGAGGACAGAGAGGACAGAGAGGACAGGAGGAGGACAGAGGAGGACAGAGGAGGACAGGAGACAGGAGGACAGGACAGGAGAGGAGGACACAGGAGGACAGAGGAGGACAGAGGAGGACAGAGGACAGGAGGACAGGAGGACAGAGGAGAAGAGGAGGACAGAGGAGGACAGAGGAGGACAGGAGGACAGGAGGACAGAGGAGGACAGGAGGACAGAGGAGGACAGGAGGACAGAGGAGGACAGAGAGGACAGAGGAGGACAGAGGAGGACAGAGGACAGAGGAGGACAGAGGACAGAGGAGGACAGAGGAGGACAGAGGACAGAGGAGGACAGAGGAGAGACAGAGGAGGAGGACAGGGAGGACAGGAGGACAGAGAGGACAGAGGAGGAGGACAGAGGAGGACAGAGGAGGACAGGAGGACAGAGGAGGACAGAGGAGGCAGGAGGACAGAGGACAGGAGGACAGGAGGACAGGAGGACAGGAGGACAGAGGAGGACAGAGGAGGACAGAGGACAGAGGAGGACAGGAGGAGGACAGAGGAGAGACAGAGGACAGAGACAGGACAGGAGGACAGGAGGACAGAGAGGACAGAGGACAGGAGGACAGAGGAGGACAGGAGGACAGGAGGACAGAGGACGGAGGAGGACAGGAGGACAGGAGGACAGGAGGACAGAGGACAGAGGAGGACAGGAGGACAGGAGGACAGAGGACAGAGGAGGACAGGAGGACAGGAGGACAGGAGGACAGAGGACAGAGGAGGACAGGAGGACAGGAGGACAGGAGGAGGACAGAGAGGGACAGGAGGACAGGAGGACAGAGGAGGACAGAGGACAGGGAGGACAGAGAGGACAGGAGGACAGAGGAGGACAGGAGGACAGGAGGACAGAGGACAGGAGGACAGGAGGACAGAGGAGGACAGGAGGACAGAGGACAGAGGAGGACAGGAGGACAGAGGAGGACAGAGGAGGACAGGAGGACAGGAGGACAGGAGGACAGGAGGACAGGAGGACAGGAGGACAGGAGGACAGAGGACAGGAGGACAGAGGAGGACAGAGGAGGACAGAGGAGGACAGGAGGACAGAGGAGGACAGAGGAGGACAGGAGGACAGGAGGACAGGGAGGACAGAGGAGGACAGAGGACAGGAGGACAGAGGACAGAGGAGGACAGAGGAGGAGGACAGGAGGACAGGGAGAGACAGGAGGACAGAGGACAGAGGAGGACAGGAGGACAGGAGGACAGAGGACAGAGGAGGACAGGAGGACAGAGGAGGACAGAGGACAGAGGACAGAGGACAGAGGACAGGGAGGACAGGGAGGACAGGAGGACAGAGGAGGACAGGAGGACAGAGGACAGAGGACAGAGGAGGAGGAGGACAGAGAGGACAGGAGGACAGAGGAGGAGGACAGAGGACAGGACAGGAGAGGACAGGAGGACAGGAGGACAGGAGGACAGGACAGAGGAGGACAGAGAGGACAGGACAGAGGAGGACAGGAGGACAGAGGAGGACAGGAGGACAGAGGAGGACAGAGGAGGACAGGAGGACAGAGCAGAGGACAGACAGAGGACAGAGGACAGGGACAGAGGAGGACAGGAGGACAGGAGGACAGAGGAGGACAGGAGGACAGAGGAGGACAGAGGAGGACAGAGGAGGACAGGAGGACAGGAGGACAGGAGGAGGACAGGAGGACAGAGAGGACAGGAGGACAGGAGGAGGACAGAGGAGGACAGAGAGGACAGGAGGACAGAGGACAGAGGACAGAGACAGAGGAGGACAGAGGAGGAGGACAGGGAGGACAGAGAGGACAGAGGAGGACAGAGGAGGACAGGAGGACAGGAGGACAGAGGAGGACAGAGGAGGACAGAGGAGGACAGGAGGAGGACAGGGAGGACAGGAGGACAGAGGAGACAGGAGGACAGAGGAGGCAGAGGAGACAGAGAGGACAGGAGGACAGGAGGACAGAGGAGGACAGAGGAGGACAGGAGGACAGGAGGACAGGAGGACAGAGGACAGGGAGGACAGAGGAGGAGGACAGGAGGACAGAGGACAGAGGAGGACAGGAGGAGGACAGGAGGACAGAGGACAGGAGGACAGGAGGACAGGACAGGAGGAGGACAGAGACAGACAGAGGAGGACAGGAGGACAGAGGACAGAGGAGGAGGACAGGAGGACAGGAGGACAGGAGGACAGAGGACAGAGGAGGACAGGAGGACAGAGGACAGGACAGGAGAGGAGGACAGGAGGACAGAGGAGGACAGAGGAGGAGAGGACAGGAGGACAGGAGGACAGAGGAGGACAGAGAGGACAGGAGGACAGGAGGACAGAGGACAGAGGACAGAGGAGGACAGGAGGACAGGAGGAGGAGGACAGAGGAGGACAGGGGACAGGAGGACAGGACAGAGGAGGACAGAGGAGGACAGGAGGACAGGACAGAGGAGGACAGAGGAGGACAGAGGACAGGACAGAGAGGACAGAGGAGGAGGAGGACACAGGAGGACAGAGGAGGACAGAGGAGGACAGGAGGACAGAGGAGGACAGAGAGGACAGGAGGACAGAGGACAGGAGGACAGGAGGACAGAGGAGGACAGAGGAGGACAGAGGACAGGGACAGGAGGACAGGAGGACAGAGGACAGGAGGACAGGAGGACAGAGGAGGACAGGAGGACAGGAGGACAGGAGGACAGGAGGACAGGAGGAGGACAGGAGGACAGGAGGACAGAGGAGGACAGGAGGACAGGACAGGACAGGAGGACAGGAGGACAGGAGGACAGGAGGACAGGAGGACAGGAGGACAGGAGGACAGGAGGACAGAGGACAGAGGACAGGACAGAGGACAGGACAGAGGAGAGGACAGAGGAGGACAGGAGGACAGAGACAGGACAGAGACAGGAGGACAGGACAGGAGGACAGGGAGGACAGGAGGACAGAGGACAGAGGAGGACAGAGGAGGACAGGAGGACAGGAGGACAGGAGGACAGGAGGACAGAGGAGGACAGGAGGACAGGAGGACAGGAGGACAGGAGGACAGGAGGAGGACAGGAGGACAGGAGGACAGAGGAGTGGTGGAGTAGGTCAGACCTGAAGAAGGCTCTGCACTGCCCCCTGGTGTCCCTCTGCTGTGTCAGTTCCCTCTGCACTGCCCCCTGTGGCTCCTCTGTGGCGCAGCACCTCCCCTCCTCCGTCTGGGACACAGACAGGTGCGGCCCTGCCCTCGTGTCCTCCAGCAGGTCACTCAGCCCCTGTAACGTGTGACCATCACATCAGCTCCTTAATGTAAACAGAGTGTGTGAAACAGAGCTCAGTGTTGGACCTTCTTGATGTGAGTCGCTGCCTCTTGGTCCAGATGTTTAATGAGCTCAGACTCATCTTTGATCTGAGACACCAGAAGATCTCTCCAGGACTGAAGGAGAAGCACACACTCAGCAGGAGGGAGGGGCGACAGGGGCGACAGGGGCGACAGGGGCGACAGGGGCGACAGGGGGGAAGGAGAAGAGGAGGAAGAGGAGGAGAGGAGGCTCTGCTGCTGTTGTCTGTGGAGACGCCACTGAGGAGAGAGAGAAGAGAATGAGTGTGTGTGTATAAATGTGTGTATAGATGTGTGTACACATGTGTGTGTATATAGATGTGTATATAGATGTGTGTATAGATGTGTGTACACATGTGTGTGTGTATATAGATGTGTGTACACATGTGTGTGTATAGATGTGTGTACACATGTGTGTGTATATAGATGTGTATATATGATGTGTGTATATAGATGTGTGTACACATGTGTGTGTGTATATAGATGTGTGTACACATGTGTGTGTATAGATGTGTGTACACATGTGTGTGTATAGATGTGTGTACACATGTGTGTGTATATAGATGTGTATATAGATGTGTGTAAAGATGTGTGTACACATGTGTGTGTATAGATGTGTGTACACATGTGTGTGTATAGATGTGTGTACACATGTGTGTGTATAGATGTGTGTACACATGTGTGTGTATATAGATGTGTATATAGATGTGTGTACACATGTGTGTGTGTATAGTGTGTATAGATGTGTGTACACATGTGTGTGTATAGATGTGTGTACACATGTGTGTGTATAGATGTGTGTACACATGTGTGTGTATATAGATGTGTATATAGATGTGTGTATAGATGTGTGTACACATGTGTGTGTATATAGATGTGTATATAGATGTGTGTAAAGATGTGTGTGTGCATGTGTGTGTATAGATGTGTGTACACATGTGTGTGTATAGATGTGTGTACACATGTGTGTGTATAGATGTGTGTATAGATGTGTGTACACATGTGTGTGTATAGATGTGTGTACACATGTGTGTGTATATAAATGTGTATATAGATGTGTGTAAATATGTGTGTACACATGTGTGTGTATATAAATGTGTATATAGATGTGTGTAAAGATGTGTGTACACATGTGTGTGTATAGATGTGTGTACACATGTGTGTGTATAGATGTGTGTACACATGTGTGTGTATATAGATGTGTGTATAGATGTGTGCACACATGTGTGTGTGTATATAGATGTGTATATAGATGTGTGTATAGATGTGTATATAGATGTGTGTATAGATGTGTGCACACATGTGTGTGTATAGATGTGTGTACACATGTGTGTGTATATAGATGTGTATATAGATGTGTGTATAGATGTGTGTACACATGTGTGTATAGATGTGTGTGTGCATGTGTGTATATAGATGTGTGTACACATGTGTGTGTATAGATGTGTGTACACATGTGTGTGTATAGATGTGTGTACACATGTGTGTGTATATAGATGTGTATATAGATGTGTGTATAGATGTGTGTACACATGTGTGTGTACACATGTGTGTGTATAGATGTGTGTACACATGTGTGTGTATATAGATGTGTATATAGATGTGTGTACACATGTGTGTGTATATAGATGTGTGTATAGATGTGTGTATAGATGTGTGTACACATGTGTGTGTATATAGATGTGTATATAGATGTGTGTATAGATGTGTGTACACATGTGTGTGTATATAGATGTGTATATAGATGTGTGTAAAGATGTGTGTGTGCATGTGTGTATATAGATGTGTGTCGGGGTCAGTACTATGTTGGTGAGGGCGTCTCTTCGTTTCTGGAGCAGGTCACAGCGCAGCATCTTCTTCTTCTCCTTCATCGTGTCCTCCAGCCTCTGCCTCAGCACCAGCGCCTCCTGCTGGCCTCTGTCGTACGGCGCCTCCACAGCCCCGCCTCCAGCCCCGCCCCCAGCCCCACCTCCAGCCCCGCCCCTGAAATAACACAAAGGGGGAGGAGCGTCAAACAGAGCAGACCTACACGTACGCTACGTACCTACACTACACATAAGTCGACAAAAACAGAAAAACAGACACACACACACAGACACACACACACACAGACACACACACACACACACACACACACACAGATGTACACAGGTGTACACAGATACTGTACATTTAGCACCATATAAAAACTACAATAACACTGCGTTAACCTGAGCCGCTCGTACTAAATGCCGGAGAAGAGGTGAGTTTTCAGTCTCGTCTTAAACTGAGAGGATCTGACAGGAAGAGGAAGGATCTGCTTCATCATGTTTCAGATTTATGATGTTTCATTCTCGTCTAGATGTCGTTTATTTTAAACAACTTGTCAAGTAAAATGATCTGTCCATGCAGCGAGATCATTTCACTATTTTAAAGTCATTATAAGGACCTCCTCCTGCTGTGAGGACCACTCTGACCTCCTGCTGCTGTGAGGTCCACTCTGACCTCCTGCTGCTGTGAGGTCCACTCTAACCTCCTCCTCCTGCTGTGAGGTCCACTCTAACCTCCTCCTCCTGCTGTGAGGTCCACTCTGACCTCCTCCTGCTGTGAGGACCACTCTGACCTCCTGCTGCTGTGAGGTCCACTCTGACCTCCTGCTACTGTGAGGTCCACTCTAACCTCCTCCTCCTGCTGTGAGGTCCACTCTGACCTCCTCCTGCTGCTGTGAGGTCCACTCTGACCTCCTCCTGCTGCTGTGAGGTCCACTCTGACCTCCTCCTCCTGCTGTGAGGTCCACTCTGACCTCCTGCTGCTGTGAGGTCCACTCTGACCTCCTCCTGCTGCTGTGAGGTCCACTCTGACCTCCTGCTGCTGTGAGGTCCACTCTGACCTCCTCCTCCTGCTGTGAGGTCCACTCTGACCTCCTCCTGCTGTGAGGTCCACTCTGACCTCCTCCTGCTGCTGTGAGGTCCACTCTGACCTCCTCCTGCTGCTGTGAGGTCCACTCTGACCTCCTTGTGTTTGGTAGGACTTGAGTATGAGAGGAAGACTCACTGTGAGAAGTTGTCAGAGATCAGACTGTGGAGAGTCTGGAGACTCTGCACCAGGAGCCTCCTGTGAGTCTGACGCTCAGACAGAAGAAACCTCATCAGAGCCACAACCTCGTCCCACACCTGCTCCAGGACGTCCTACACAGAGGAGACCTGGTTCAGTCCTGGTTCAGTCCTGGTTTAGTCCTGGTTCAGTCCTGGTTTAGACCTGGTTTAGTCCTGGTTTAGTCCTGGTTTAGTCCTGGTTTAGACCTGGTTTAGTCCTGGTTCAGTCCTGGTTCAGTCCTGGTTTAGTCCTGGTTTAGACCTGGTTTAGACCTGGTTTAGTCCTGGTTTAGTCCTGGTTTAGTCCTGGTTTAGTCCTGGTTTAGACCTGGTTTAGTCCTGGTTTAGACCTGGTTTAGTCCTGGTTTAGACCTGGTTTAGTCCTGGTTTAGTCCTGGTTTAGACCTGGTTTAGTCCTGGTTAGTCCTGGTTTAGTCCTGGTTTAGTCCTGGTTTAGACCTGGTTTAGTCCTGGTTTAGACCTGGTTCAGTCCTGGTTCAGTCCTGGTTTAGTCCTGGTTCAGTCCTGGTTTAGACCTGGTTTAGACCTGGTTTAGACCTGGTTTAGTCCTGGTTTAGACCTGGTTTAGTCCTGGTTTTAGTCCTGGTTTAGTCCTGGTTTAGACCTGGTTTAGACCTGGTTTAGACCTCCTGGTTTAGACCTGGTTTAGACCTGGTTTAGACCTGGTTTAGACCTGGTTTAGTCCTGGTTTAGTCCTGGTTTAGTCCTGGTTTAGTCCTGGTTTAGTCCTGGTTTAGTCCTGGTTTAGACCTGGTTTAGTCCTGGTTTAGACCTGGTTTAGACCTGGTTTAGACAGTCCTGGTTTAGTCCTGGTTTAGTCCTGGTTTAGACCTGGTTTAGACCTGGTTTAGACCTGGTTTAGTCCTGGTTTAGACCTGGTTTAGTCCTGGTTTAGACCTGGTTTCCTGGTTTAGTCCTGGTTTAGTCCTGGTTTAGACCTGGTTTAAGTCCTGGTTTAGTCCTGGTTTAGACCTGGTTTAGTTCCTGGTTTAGACCTGGTTTAGTAGTCCTGGTTTAGTCCTGGTTTAGTCCTGGTTTAGTCCTGGTTTAGACCTGGTTAGTCCTGGTTTAGTCCTGGTTTAGACCTGGTTTAGTCCTGGTTTAGACCTGGTTTAGTCCTGGTTTAGACCTGGTTTAGTCCTGGTTTAGTCCTGGTTTAGACCTGGTTTAGTCCTGGTTTAGTCCTGGTTTAGTCCTGGTTTAGACCTGGTTTAGTGGTTTAGTCCTGGTTTAGACCTGGTTTAGACCTGGTTTAGTCCTGGTTCAGTCCTGGTTTAGTCCTGGTTCAGTCCTGGTTTAGACCTGGTTTAGACCTGGTTTAGACCTGGTTTTAGACCTGGTTTTAGTCCTGGTTTAGTCCTGGTTTAGACCTGGTTTAGTCCTGGTTTAGACCTGGTTTAGACCTGGTTTAGTCCTGGTTTAGACCTGGTTTAGACCTGGTTTAGACCTGGTTTAGACCTGGTTTAGACCTGGTTTAGTCCTGGTTTAGACCTGACAGCTGAAGTACAGATGCTGCAGAGATGAGGAGGTGTTCTGGTCCATGTCTCCGGTCCTCGTGGCCTCCTCCAGCTCCTCGCAGAAGATCTGATGCACCTCCTCACGTCTCCTGTGAGTCAGGTCCCTCTGCACATGAGCCCGCGCCTCCTCCTGACGCCACAGCAGGAGGCGCCGACTCCACCTCCCACTCGCTCTGTGAACCTCCTCCAGGAGAGACCTGCAGAGGGGAGCACACTGCCAAGAAGAAGAAGAAGAAGAAGAGGAGGAGAGGGTCAGAGGAGGAGCACAGGAGCACACCTCTCCTCCTCCTCCTCCTCGTCCTCTGTCACCTCTGCTCCTCTGCTCCTCTGCGCCTCCTCCTCTCTCTCCTGTGCGTGTCGGAGGAGCTGAGCGTCGATGGCGTTTCTCGTTTCGTGGTTGAATTCTTCGATGAGGGCGTTGATCCTGTGGTGCTGCTCCTCCTGCAGTCGTCCCTCTAGCGCCATCATCTGGCCCTGCAGCACCTCCTCCAGCCTGTCCTCCACCGGGCCCTGCAGCACCTCCTCCAGCCTGTCCTCCACCGGGCCCTGCAGCACCTCCTCCAGCCTGTCCTCCGCCCCCGCCCCTCGCCTCAACAGCGCCACCATCAGGGCTCTCTGCAACTGCAACCGACACGTCTCCAGACGAGAGGAGGAGCAAAGACGAGAGGAGGACTCCAGACTGAGAGGAGGAGAGGGGAAAGGAGGAGAGGAGGAGAAGAGGAGGAGAAGAGGAGGAGAGGAGGAGAGGAGGAGAAGGGGGAGGAGAGGAGGAGAAGGGGGAGGGAGTCAAAGTAAAATTAAAGGTTCTATATTTGTCAAAACTGACTCTGAGCTTTAATCCATGTTCTTCTGTTCTTCTGTTGTTCTTCTGTTCTTCTGTTGTTCTTCTGTTGTTCTTCTGTTGTTCTTCTGTTGTTCTGTTGTTCTTCTGTTCTTCTGTTCTTCTGTTGTTCTTCTGTTCTTCTGTTCTGTTGTTCTTCTGTTGTTCTTCTGTTGTTCTGTTGTTCTGTTGTTCTTCTGTTGTTCTTCTGTTCTTCTGTTGTTCTTCTGTTGTTCTTCTGTTGTTCTTCTGTTGTTCTTCTGTTCTTCTGTTCTCGGTCACTCAGAGCTGGAGTTGTGTTTGTTTGAGTAACTCTTTATTATGAATCTGTTACATGTCCAAAGCTCTAGACACTGTTCCACCTTGTGATGTCATCAAGTGACAGTTTTGTATTTTATTTCTTGTGTTGATGTTGTTTTATGTGTTTTATCAGCATCAGTCATATCAGGAGAACACATGTCCCCGCCCCCCCAATCCTCGTGTCCCCGCCCCCCCGTCCTCGTGTCCCCCGCCCCCCCCATCCTCGTGTCCCCCCCCCGTCCTCGTGTCCCCGCCCCCCATCCTCGTGTCCCCGCCCCCCCATCCTCGTGTCCCGCCCCCGTCCTCGTGTCCCCGCCCCCGTCCTCGTGTCCCGCCCCCCGTCCTCGTGTCCCCGCCCCCCGTCCTCGTGTCCCCGCCCCCCGTCCTCGTGTCCCCGCCCCTCTATTTGTGAAGACGCACCTGTCCAGAGCGAGCTGCGTGTCCTGAGGTTCCTCTTGGATCATGATGTCCACCACTTTGTCCTCTGACTCGGTGTCCTCGGTCTGAGCGCCGCTGACCTGAGGGACGTCCAGCTGCAGGTCAGACGCTGCTCCAGGTCTCTGACACGAAGGGTCAAATAAAAATGTTAAAAACCACAGAGTTTTCTGTGATAAATGTGACTTTCTCATGTCCAAGTCGTGATGTACCAGTCTAGATTTTTCAATTCGATACTGATTTCGATATTATAGCTTTAAGTATCAGCTCACACCGATATTGGCCGATATCAACCAATCCCAGAGACTGAAAAACAACTTTATTTTCTTTAAAACAGAAATAAACCAAGACAAAACTGATCCAAAAGTTTTTCTCTCTGTAACAACTTTGTGAATAAAAGTTGAAAAGTCTTATTACATCCACATCTGTTCAACCAGGATATTGGATATCGGCTGAACTGATATGTGAAAACCGATATTCGAATCCCACAAATTCTCAGTATCGACGCTGATACCAGATCAGTGCCTCATCATCTGTGTTAAAAGTGAGTTTTACCTGTTTATGGCAAAGTCTCAGAGCGGCCCCGGGGTTCATCCTTTTCAGAAGCAAAAAACCCAAAAGAACCAGAACCAGAGACACGAGGAACCCCCCGAAGAACCCGGCGAAGTGCAGCACGTGCTGAGGAAACACCTGAGCGACACGGGACAGATGTGATCTTAACTTCAAAACTTAACTTCAAACTTGTCTCCTGCAAATTTGAAACATTGCAAAAATTAAATATATTTTTTTACGTGAACTAGAAAAATGCCCACGTTTACGTCAAGGTTCAATTTCTGTGACGTGTGAGGTGTCGGTGTGAGGTGTCGGTGTTGGTGTCGGTGTGAGGTGTCGGTGTGATGTGTCGCTGTGAGGTGTCGGTGGTACGTGTCGCTGTGAGGTGTCGGTGGTACGTGTCGCTGTGAGGTGTCGGTGGTAGGTGTCGCGTCGCTGTGAGGTGTCGGTGGTACGGTGTCGCTGTGAGGTGTCGGTGGTACGCGTCCGTGTGAGGTGTCGGTGGTACGCGTCGCTGTGTGAGGTGTCGGTGGTACGCGTCGCTGTGAGGTGTCGGTGGTACGCGGTGTCGCTGTGAGGTGTCGTCGTGTGAGGTGTCGGTGGTGTCGGTGGTACGCGTCGCTGTGAGGTGTCGGTGGTACGCGTCGCTGTGAGGTGTCGGTGGTACGCGTCGCTGTGAGGTGTCGGTGGTACGCGTCGCTGTGAGGTGTCGCTGTGAGGTGTCGGTGGTACGCGTCGGTGTGAGGTGTCGGTGGTACGTGTCGCTGTGAGGTGTCGGTGGTACGCGTCGCTGTGAGGTGTCGGTGGTACGTGTCGCTGTGAGGTGTCGGTGGTACGCGTCGCTGTGAGGTGTCGGTGGTACGCGTCGCTGTGAGGTGTCGTGTGAGGTGGTCGGTGGTACGTGTCGCTGTGAGGTGTCGGTGTGAGGTGTCGGTGGTACGTGTCGCTGTGAGGTGTCGGGTGGTACGCGTCGGCTGTGAGGTGTCGGTGGTACGTGTCGCTGTGAGGTGTCGGTGGTACGCGTCGCTGTGAGGTGTCGGTGTGAGGTGTCGGTGGTACGTGTCGCTGTGAGGTGTCGGTGGTACGCGTCGCTGTGAGGTGTCGGTGGTACGCGTCGCTGTGAGGTGTCGGTGGTACGCGTCGCTGTGAGGTGTCGGTGGTACGCGTCGCTGTGAGGTGTCGGTGGTACGCGTCGGTGTGAGGTGTCGGTGGTACGTGTCGCTGTGAGGTGTCGGTGGTACGCGTCGCTGTGAGGTGTCGGTGGTACGCGTCGCTGTGAGGTGTCGCTGTGAGGTGTCGGTGGTACGCGTCGCTGTGAGGTGTCGGTGGTACGCGTCGCTGTGAGGTGTCGCTGTGAGGTGTCGGTGGTACGTGTCGCTGTGAGGTGTCGGTGGTACGCGTCGCTGTGAGGTGTCGGTGGTACGCGTCGCTGTGAGGTGTCGGTGGTACGCGTCGCTGTGAGGTGTCGGTGGTACGCGTCGCTGTGAGGTGTCGGTGGTACGCGTCGCTGTGAGGTGTCGGTGGTACGTGTCGCTGTGAGGTGTCGGTGGTACGCGTCGCTGTGAGGTGTCGGTGGTACGTGTCGCTGTGAGGTGTCGGTGGTACGCGTCGCTGTGAGGTGTCGGTGTGAGGTGTCGGTGGTACGTGTCGCTGTGAGGTGTCGGTGGTACGTGTCGCTGTGAGGTGTCGCTGTGAGGTGTCGGTGGTACGCGTCGCTGTGAGGTGTCGGTGGTACGCGTCGCTGTGAGGTGTCGGTGGTACGCGTCGCTGTGAGGTGTCGGTGGTACGCGTCGCTGTGAGGTGTCGGTGGTACGCGTCGCTGTGAGGTGTCGGTGGTACGCGTCGCTGTGAGGTGTCGGTGTTGGACTCACTGTGAGTGTGGAGTTCACTCGTACGGTCAGATGAGCCGTCACAGGACCAAACATGTTTACATCATTCTGTGAAAGAAAAGAACAACTGTGAAGAGAGAAAGACGAGGTCAGGGGTCAGGGGTCAGTGGGTCAGTGGATCAGGGGTCAGTGGGTCAGTGGGTCAGGGGGCCAGGGGTCAGTGGGTCAGTGGGTCAGGGGGTCAGGGGTCAGTGGGTCAGGGGTCAGGGGTCAGGGGTCAGGGGGTCAGGGGTCAGTGGGTCAGGGGTCAGTGGGTCAGTGGGTCAGTGGGTCAGGGGTCAGTGGGTCAGGGGTCAGTGGGTCAGTGGGTCAGGGGTCAGTGGATCAGGGGTCAGTGGGGGGTCAGTGGGTCAGTGGGGTCAGTGGGTCAGTGGGGTCAGGGGTCAGGGGGGGTCAGTGGGTCAGGGGGTCAGGGGTCAGTGGATCAGGGGTCAGTGGGTCAGGGGTCAGTGGCAGTCAGGGGTCAGTGGATCAGGGGTCAGTGGGTCAGGGGGTCAGGGGTCAGTGGATCAGGGGTCAGGGGTCAGGGGTCAGTGGATCAGGGGTCAGTGGATCAGGGGTCAGGGGTCAGTGGGATCAGGGGTCAGTGGATCAGGGGGTCAGGGGTCAGTGGGTCAGGGGTCAGTGGGGGGTCAGTGGGTCAGTGGGGTCAGGGGTCAGTGGGATCAGGGGTCAGTGGGTCAGGGGTCAGTGGATCAGGGGTCAGTGGATCAGGGGTCAGGGGGTCAGGGGTCAGTGGATCAGGGGTCAGTGGATCAGGGGTCAGTGGGTCAGGGGTCAGGGGTCAGTGGATCAGGGGTCAGGGGTCAGGGGGTCAGGGGTCAGTGGGTCAGGGTCAGTGGGTCAGGGGTCAGTGGATCAGGGGTCAGTGGGTCAGGGGTCAGTGGGTCAGGGGTCAGGGGTGAGACCTGTGAGGCGTTGGAGAAGGTGAGATACGCTGGCAGCTCCAGGACTTCAGTCTTCGGGCTCCTGATGTGGGCGGAGTAATTCAACACCACCTGAGAGCCAGCTGCACACACACACACACACACACACACACTGTGACCTTTGACCCCAGCACACACACACACACACACACACACTGTGACCTTTGACCCCAGCACACACACACACACTGTGACCTTTGACCCCAGCTGCACACACACACACAGTGACCTTTGGCCTTTGAGCTGAAGGTCGTGGGTGACTTCTGTTACAGACTGTGGGTCACTCACCGTACAGAGCGTCTATGGCGAAGCTCTGGAACCCGGCCTCCACCTCTCTGCCCTCAGACCAGCCCAAGGACTGGACCTGGGACTGGACCTGGGACCGGACCTGAGGCCGGACCTGAGGCCGGACCTGAGGCCGGACCTGAGGCCGGACCTGAGACTGGACCTGGGTGAGGCCGGAGATGGAGTCCCGCACAGCCACCTGAGTGAGGTTGGAGGCGTGAGGAGGGCCCATGTGGTGGATGAGGAGGAAGATGGAGAGAAGAGGAGGATCAGAACCTGGCACCACCTACAGAACATGAGGAACAGCTGAAGAACCATCACACAGAACATGAGGAACAGCTGAAGAACCATCACACAGAACATGAGGAACAGCTGAAGAACCATCACACAGAACATGAGGAACAGCTGAAGAACCATCACACAGAACATGAGGAACAGCTGAAGAACGACCAAAACGTGAGGACTTGTTCATGTGTAGAGTTTTATAGACGACAGACTCATACCTGAGCACATTTGTGGAACGTGACTCCAAACTGAGACAGTTCTGGTCCAACCGAAACCTAAAACAAAACAACAACTGTAAGATTAGGTTACATAAGGACATATAATACTCCCTACAACTGTACAATAACTCAAGCTTATGTAACAGACTCGTATTTGACTCCAGTCTTGTTATTTTTGCTAGTCAGGACCTGTGGGAGGAGTCAGGACCTGTGGGAGGAGTCAGGGCCTGTGGGAGGACTGTGGGAGGAGTCAGGGCCTGTGGGAGGAGTCAGGGCCTGTGGGAGGAGTCAGGGCCTGTGGGAGGACTGTGGGAGGAGTCAGGGGAGAAGTCATTACCTGTGGGCGGAGGTGGTCAGGTGGACTCCTCCTTCTTCTGAGGAGCTGTGTGTTCGGGCTCAGAGGAGAGAGAAGGTCTGAGGAGAACATCTCTGAAACATCAAACCAAAAAGATAAAGACAAATAAACATGACAACAGTGAGGACCTAAACACACTGAACACTTCAGTGTGTACGTGAGTAACCTCACGAAACCACAGCCACGACGCAACACGAGGACGGATGGACGGGCCGTAACACGAGGACGGACGGACGGGCCGTAACACGAGGACGGACGGACGGGCCGTAACACGAGGACGGACGGACGCGCCGTCACACGAGGACGGACGGACGCGCCGTAACACGAGGACGGACGGACGGGCCGTAACACGAGGACGGACGGACGGGCCGTAACACGAGGACGGACGGACGGGCCGTAACACGAGGACGGACGGACGCGCCGTAACACGAGGACGGACGGACGGGCCGTCACACGAGGACGGACGGACGCGCCGTAACACGAGGACGGACGGACGCGCCGTCACACGAGGACGGACGGACGGGCCGTAACACGAGGACGGACGGACGGGCCGTAACACGAGGACGGACGGACGCGCCGTAACACGACGGACAGACGTAACACGAGGACGAACGGATGCGCCGTAACACGAGGACGGACAGACGCGCCGTAACACGAGGACGGACAGATGGGCCGTAACACGAGGACGGACAGATGGGCCGTAACACGAAAACAGACGGATGAGCCGTAACACGAGGACGGACGGATGCGCCGTAACACGAGGACGGACGGATGCGCCGTAACACGAGGACGGACGGATGCGCCGTAACACGAGGACGGACGGATGCGCCGTCACACGAGGACGGACAGATGGGCCGTAACACGAGGACGGACGGATGGGCCGTAACACGAGGACGGACAGATGGGCCGTAACACGAGGACAGACGGATGCGCCGTAACAGGAGGACAGACAGATGCGCCATAACACGAGGACGGACGGATAAGCCGCAACACGAGGACGGACGGATGAGCCGCAACACGAGGACGGACGGATGAGCCGCAACACGAGGACGGACGGATGGGCCGTAACACCAGGACGGATGGACAGACTGTTACATGACAGAACTAACAGTAGTAACAGGAAATGTCAGCACACGACTCCCCCTGGAGGAAAAACATAAAATAACATCTGACATATATAATGATCTTACCAGAGCTCACGAGTGTAGACTCTGCAGCGCCCCCAGGTGGACCTGAGACACACTGAGGACAAAAGGGTCAGTGAGGGTTAGGTTACATACAGTCTGTGTCAGTTATAAACGGTCTGTGTCAGTTATAAACGGTCTGTGTCAGTTATAAACGGTCTGTGTCAGTTATAAACGGTCTGTGTCAGTTATAAACGGTCTGTGTCAGTTATAAACAGGCTCCAGTAAAGACTCACCCCCGGAGAGTCCGCGGAGGAAGAAGCCGCCGTGTCCCGCAAAGACCCGACTCCAAACCCGCCTCCAGGTCCCCTCAGCCCGGCATATCCACCAGAACCTCCCGGAGCAGAACCTCCCGGAGCAGAACCTCCCGAAGCAGAACCTCCCGGAGCAGAACCTCCCGGAGCAGAACCTCCCGAAGCAGGGTACGGAACTGGAGAAGCAGGAGCCGGGATGAGACACGACGCCCGGAGGAGCACAACCCACACCGTGAAGGGGAAGAGCCGCATCCGTGCTACTCCGAACCACCGGGACCGAGCCGAACCCCCCGCACCGTCCGCTCCAGAACCCGCCGCACTGATTTAACGTTTAACGGTCCAAAGTAAATAAAGTAAATATAAACCCGTCCTCGCGGTGTTCTCCGCTCTGACCCGCTCACACAGACACCGGAGCGAGTTTCCTTCGGTTAAACGGGAAACAAACGCGGACATTTTAAAGTTTTAACACGGAACATCCTGCGGACACTTTTCCCAAACTTTTCCCAAACTTTGGAAAACTGCGGAGCGGAAGTGAACCTCTGTGAGCGCGTGTGTCCGCTTGGTGCCTTCAGAATAAAAGCACGGTGTTTTATTTAGACAAATTCATAAGATAATAGTTTTATAAGTGCGAGTTTAAACCATGAGATACACGTATTTACACGGAGTAAATATTTAAAGTGTTATTTTCTTAAGTATGATTAAGTAAAGCGATACTAAAACGTGACCGTTCTTTTACACTGAAGGGTCGGCTGTGTGTTTCCCTCACGCGCAGCAGGACCGTACACTGTTTATATAAATTATATTGTATATTTACTGTTTTATTAGACTTTATATTTTATCATTTGTATAAATTATACTGTATATATAAACTGTATATATACAGTTCATGAGCAGGAGCCAACATATCCATGGTTTTATTATTTAATGTCATTGTTATTGTTCTTTAAATTAATTTTGTATAAAATATTGAGTTTATTTAACCCTTTTACTTACACATTTTCACAGTAGTTTAACTTGAACTTGTGTTTTCTGCTGTAGGTTTTTCTCACAGACTTAAGTCCATAGGTGGGCGGTGGTGTAGGGCGACCAGACGGGACAGTCCCAGTTTTGAGCCTGTGTCTTTGTCTCTGCAGATTTATACAAAACCATTGATTTGTCCCAGTTTTATTGAAGAAATGTCCCAGGTGTCCCTATTTTGGACCAAAATGATCCTGCCAACGGTAAAGAGACACATAAATGGTCATTTTTTGGGGTAAAATACAGAAAAGCTGCTTAAAAATGACCAAAATACAAAGAAAACGTGACTATACTGACACATGTTGGACATGAATGAGCTGAGTGCAAAAGAGTTTTCTTTAATTACACTTTCAATTCACTATTTTATTATTATGAACCACCACAAACCAAGAGTGTCCCACTTTTTGATTTTGAAATTCTGGTCACCTTTTGGTAGTACTCACATTTACATTTACAAAATGTTACTGTAGGTCTCTAAAGTTACTTTAAGTTTTCCCAAATACTTTTTTACTACTATAATTTCTTGGACTACTTGGTACTTCTACTTGCGTAATATTAGTTTGAAGTAACGTTACTCTTACTCTAGTACAGTTTTTGTTTTTATTTTCACCACTGACAGGAACTACTGTCCACTGACAGGAACTACTGTCCACTGACAGGAACTACTGTCCACTCACAGGAACTACTGTCCACTCACAGGAACTACTGTCCACTGACAGGAACTACTGTCCACTGACAGGAACTACTGTCCACTGACAGGAACTACTGTCCACTCACAGGAACTACTGTCCACTCACAGGAACTACTGTCCACTCACAGGAACTACTGCCCACTGACAGGAACTACTGTCCACTGACAGGAACTACTGTCCACTGACAGGAACTACTGTCCACTCACAGGAACTACTGTCCACTGACAGGAACTACTGTCCACTCACAGGAACTACTGTCCACTGTACTGCCACTCACAGGAACTACTGTCCACTGACAGGAACTACTGTCCACTGACAGAACTACTGACAGGAACTACGTCCACTGACAGGAACTACTGTCCACACAGGAATACTGACTCACAGGAACTACTGTCCACTGACAGGAACTACTGTCCACTCACAGGAACTACTGTCCACTGACAGTTTAAAGTAACAAACCAGACTCCAGTTGGTGAAAACGCGGGCACTCTGTTCTCTCAGTTTTATGTTCTGTCAGTTTTATGTTCTCAGTTTTATGTTCTGTCAGTTTTATGTTCTGTCAGTTTTATGTTCTCAGTTTTATGTTCTGTCAGTTTTATGTTCTCAGTTTTATGTTCTCAGTTTTGTTCTGTCAGTTTTATGTTCTCAGTTTTATGTTCTGTCAGTTTTATGTTCTCAGTTTTATGTTCTGTCAGTTTTATGTTTTCTGTTCAGTTTTAGTTTTATGTTCTCAGTTTTATGTTCTCAGTTTTATGTTCTCAGTCTTATGTTCTCAGTTTTATGTTCTGTCAGTTTTATGTTCTCTCAGTTTTATGTTCTCAGTTTTATGTTCTGTCAGTTTTATGTTCTCTCAGTTTTATGTTCTGTCAGTTTTATGTTCTCAGTTTTATGTTCTCAGTTTTATGTTCTCAGTTTTATGTTCTCAGTTTTATGTTCTCTCAGTTTTATGTTCTCAGTTTTATTTCGTTCTGTCAGTTTATTTCAGTTTTATGTTTTCTGTTCTCAGTTTTATGTTCTCAGTTTTATGTCAGTTTTATGTTCTGTCAGTTTTAGTTCTTCAGTTTTATGTTCTCAGTTTTTATGTTCTGTCAGTTTTATGTTCTCAGTATTTATGTTCTCAGTTTTATGTTCTCATGTTTCTGTTAGTTTTATGTTCTCAGTTTTTGTTCTCTCAGTTTTATGTTCTCAGTTTATGTTCTCAGTTTTATGTTCTTCAGTTTTATGTTCTTTCAGTTTATGTTTGTCAGTTTTATGTTCAGTTTATGTTCTCAGTTTTTGTTCTTTTCATGTTCTCAGTTTTATGTTCTGTTTTATGTTCTGTCAGTTTTATGTTCTCAGTTTTATGTTCTCAGTTTTATGTTCGTTTTATGTTTTCATTTTCTGTTGTTCTCAGTTTTAGTTCTCAGTTTTATGTTCTCAGTTTTATGTTTCTTCAGTTTTATGTTCTCAGTTTTATGTTCTCAGTTTATGTTCTCAGTTTTATGTTCTCAGTTTTATGTTCTCAGTTTTATGTTCTCAGTCTTATGTTCTCAGTTTTATGTTCTCTCAGTTTTATGTTCTCAGTTTTATGTTCTCAGTTTATATGTTCTCAGTTTTATGTTCTCATGTTCTCTTTTATGTCTCAGTTTTATGTTCTCAGTTTTATGTTCTCAGTTTATGTTCTCAGTTTTATGTTCTGTTTTATGTTCAGTTTTATGTTCTCAGTTTTATGTTCTGTTCTCAGTTTTATGTTCTCTCAGTTCTTATGTTCTCAGTTTTATGTTCTCAGTTTTATGTTTTATGTTCTCTCAGTTTTATGTTCTGTCAGTTTTATGTTCTCAGTTTTATGTTCTCTCAGTTTTATGTTCTCAGTTTTATGTTTCTCAGTTTTATGTTCTCAGTTTTATGTTCTCAGTTTTATGTTCTCAGTTTTATGTTCTGTTCTCAGTTTTATGTTCTCAGTTTTATGTTCTCAGTTTTATGTTCTGTCAGTTTTATGTTCTCTCCAGTTTATGTTCTCAGTTTTATGTTCTCAGTTTTATGTTCTCAGTCTGTCAGTTTTATGTTCTCAGTTTTATGTTCTCAGTTTTATGTTCTCAGTTTTATGTTCTGTCAGTTTTATGTTCTCAGTTTTATGTTCTCAGTTTTATGTTCTCAGTTTTATGTCTCTCAGTCTTATGTTCTCAGTTTTATGTTCTGTCAGTTTTATGTTCTCTCAGTTTTATGTTCTCAGTTTTATGTTCTCAGTTTTATGTTCTGTCAGTTTTATGTTCTCAGTTTTATGTTCTCAGTTTTATGTTCTCAGTTTTATGTTCTCAGTTTTATGTTCTCAGTTTTATGTTCTCAGTTTTATGTTCTCAGTTTTATTTTATGTTCTGTCAGTTTTCAGTTTTATGTTCTCAGTTTTATGTTCTCAGTTTATGTTCTCAGTTTTATGTTCTCAGTTTATGTTCTGTTCAGTTTATGTTCTCAGTTTTATGTTCTGTCAGTTTTATGTTCTCAGTTTTATGTCTCTCAGTTTTAGTTTTGTTCTCAGTTTTATGTTCTCAGTTTTATGTTCTCAGTCAGTTATGTTTCTCAGTTTATGTTCTCAGTTTTATGTCTGTCAGTTTTATGTTCAGTTTATTTCTCAGTTAGTTTTGTTCTCAGTTCTGTCAGTTTTTATGTTCTTCAGTTTTATGTTCTCAGTTTTATGTTCTTTTAGTTCTGTAGTTTATGTTCTCAGTTTTATGCTGTCAGTTTTACTCAGTTTTATGTTCTCAGTTTTATGTTCTCAGTTTTATGTTCTCAGTCAGTTTTATGTTCTCTCAGTTTTATGTTCTGTCTCAGTTTTCATGTTTGTTTCTCAGTTTTATGTTTTCTCAGTTTTATGTTCTGTCAGTTTTATGTTCTCAGTTTAGTTTTATGTTCTCAGTTTTATGTTCTCAGTTTTCAGTTTTATGTTTGTAGTTTTATGTTCTCAGTTTTTATGTCTCAGTCAGTTTTATGTTCCAGTCTCAGTTTTATGTTCTCAGTTTCTATGTTCTGTTCAGTTTTATGTGTATGTTCTGTCATGTTCTCAGTTTTATGTTCTCAGTTTTATGTTCTGTCAGTTTTATGTTCTCTCAGTTTTATGTTCTCAGTTCTTATGTTCTCAGTTTTATGTTCTCAGTTTTATGTTCTGTCAGTTTTATGTTCTCTCAGGTTTATGTTCTCTCAGTTTTATGTTCTCAGTTTTATGTTCTGTCAGTTTTATGTTCTCTCAGTCTTATGTTCTCAGTTTTATGTTCTCAGTTTTATGTTCTCAGTTTTATGTTCTGTCAGTTTTATGTTCTCTCTTTATGTTCTCAGTCTTATGTTCTCAGTTTTATGTTCTCTCAGTCTTATCTCTCAGTCTTATGTTCTCTCAGTTTTATGTTCTCAGTTTTATGTTCTCAGTCTTATGTTCTCTCAGAACAAAACTGTTCTCCAGCAGCAGAGATGACAGATGTGACTTGGAGAACCTGGAGCAAAGGACCCGAGGTTCAAACGACTCTGAATCGTCCATTAAAATGCAGATTAAAAATAAAAATGACTTGACTTAGAGTTTAATTTTGAGAAAAAATCTTAGAAATAAGAAAAATCTTAGAACTAAGGGAACATTGAGCTGACCTCAGACTCAACAGCCTTTATTAGCCCGACCTGGGTTACGTACAGACTAAAGGGTAACGTACAGACTAAAGGGTAACGTACAGTCTAAAGGTTACGTATAGACTAAAAGGTTACGTACAGACTAAAGGTTATGTACAGACTAAAAGGTTACGTACAGACTAAAAGGTTACGTAGATACTAAAGGGTAACGTACAGA